TCATTTCGATCCACCTCCTCGTGCAGAAACTTGAAGTAACCCAGTCTCCTTGACGTAGTACTCCCGTCCCAAGTGAGGACGATGCCATACGATTGGCGAAGGCTTTCAACACTCGATCGGATTTCCAGACACCTTTCACTCTGCCTCTTCAACCGTGACGGCTCATCCCAGACCACTTCGATTGGTAACGGAGAAAAATTGGTGTATCCCAGAGGGCGACCGACTTCTGCTTCTGGCAGCTGGTATCCAGGCCGCCCGCGATGCTCTATCTAAGTTGTCACGAGACGTGGCTAGGACCATCACCCGTCCATCCCACAGAGCGTGCAAAACGTGTCCCTTTACAACCAACCATCTCCCTTCGACACAGCTAACGACCTCCAAGATATCCTCATTCCAGTTGAGCTCATGATGATCAGGCCAGGTTATCGGTGATCGTATCTTAGCCCACGACCATGACGGTGTTAGTGTCGTGCTGACAGATCTCCAGTAAGGTCAGCAGCAGTGGCATAATGAATGGGGATAAGTCTGTCGGATAAACGATGTTGATTTAATGCAAGACCACTGAGGTCCATTGATCAAAAGGTGATTGTGGTGCTTGATTGAGGTATTTCCCCCCATTCCGGTCCGAGCGGGGCTCTGTCTTATATTTACCCATCATCACCGGTTCGTATCCATTATTCAATGCAGTTCTAGCATCCCTTTATCCAGACACAGTCGTCAACCCAACAGGACTGCCCTACAAAGGATAGCTGCCACTCGTTTATAGATCTACTGCAGGCCCAGCAGATCACTCTAGGCAATACAACCAGACTTATCCCCATTTCATTATGCCACTGCTGACCATACTGAAGATCTGTCACTATTCCTATCTTACAGACCAGCCTCCTGCTGCTGAATCTGGGGAATTCGTTGTTAAATATTGGCCAATCCGATCTGTGTACCTAACTTGTTGTGTTGTTGATCAGGTAATGCAAGAGGCGATCGGAGCAATGTTGCAACCATTACTTCCTTTCTCGATGAAAATCCTCAGATGAGGAAGGTTTCTTGTTCTTCTATCTGCGTCTATGTCTCCTTTTCATCCCTTGATGCCGTAACCTTGTGCCGAGTATAGCTAAGAGTATCCCATGTGACGGGCTCGACCCGGCACAATTATACTTGTAGTAAGCTAGATAAATGGCACCGACCTTTACCTTAAACCCTTTACAGCAGGTGAGAGAATCAATAGGAACTGAGACCAATTGCTCTTAGCCGTTGGCAGCCCAGTAGCCAGGATGCGCAGTACAGCAAGACTTAAAAGCTTGCCAATTGGAAGTACAGCACTATACCGCGTTAAAATCTGTCCGAGTTTACACCTGCGCGTGGGGTACTAACAGCACCGTCTTGTTGGTAGCTACCTCCGGGACAGCATGATGAGGTGTATCCAGAGTTGGAGTTGTCAGATCTCAGGCATTGCCAAATCAAGGATGGGCTGTTGTTGCAATACGCAGCGCATACACCGCTCAAGAAGGTGCTCTGAAACTCGCACGTTAGATTGTCATGGGGGAAGGAGGCTTCTAGGATTAGTTCTCACAAAGGGCAGCAAAGCAGCAAGTTGATAGACCTTCATTGTTGTCCAAGTTGTCTGATGAGTTGACTGGGGTGGTGCATGGCGTGTTGGACATCAATCGTTGAAAGCCAAGGTGGGAGTTGTTATATATTCAGAGCTTGTTCACTGCCACAATCAGTCTAAGTGAGACCCAATTGTCGCCTTTCTACCTTGTTTACAGTTGGTAATCGGTGGGATGGTCCATCTACGTGGTGCGTGGTGTTAAACTTTCTTCGGAAATTCCTTCGGAAAGTGAAATAGATTAGAATGCCTCAGACAGGAACAAGTGTGAGCCTTTTGACTTATCCATTTGGTTCGGTCATTTCAGGGAGACTGTACTATGCCGATCGTTGCCTTGATATGGGATATTGCCAATGGCTCCGAAAGTTCATGAACTCAGTCGCAAGTGGCACGATCAATGTGCGTATACATGGGTCGCCTTGCTCGGTATGCCAACCCGTAGCTTCATCTTTCTCTGAAAAACTAGCGTTTTAAAACGGTTGGTAATTACAATACGCTCCAGATGTATTTTCGCAAGCGATGTGATTGTAGGCAGTTAGTGACATTTGAATGAGGGTAATCGCATTGATTCTGTCAACGTGCTGATTCCAACAAACTTTACTAGCTCGCCAATGAGCTGAAATCAAGCGTGAGCAAATTAACCTCTGAGTCTGAAGTATTAATTAGATACGAGTTCATGCGTGATTTGACGGTTTTGAATTAACTGATGCGTCTGTTCTATTGCTTACCTTTTGATGGAAAATACTCTATCAGACTTGGGAGGCACCTCTTGGACACGCTGCCAGGGATGCGAAAGCACGAAAACGTAAAAGAAGTCCGATGATACTGGAACCAAGGCTGGAAATAGTATGATCCATATGTGACGGCCCGCTAGTCGTAGTGAGGTACATTAGGAGAAATTGAAGCTGCGAATACTAATGAACAGTGTCGTAGTCGTGATAGCTTCTCTGAAGCTATGCTGTAAGTCGTAAGGTGGGTAAGGCTTCGGTGACCAATCGTAGTCTTGTCAAAAGGGTTCTCAGTGAAGATAGCTGAAAGTGATCGTGAGATCGAATACTAAGTTGATTGCTGAGATACCTATGGGAGTCTGTCCTAGAGCCCGGCTCGAGTCCATCCTACATACAAGCCTCTTCCTTGAACATATCTTTTGTTAGTGATCATGATTTGATTTGATTAATTCCTACTCGGTTTTGGCCGCTTTAGTCCGTATATTCCAGTCTGACTTCAATATACGAAGTCCCGTCTGAATATAAGGCGCAGACGCTTCTGTGGAAAAATACCCGCTGTCGGGGTAGTGGAGCCAAAAGAGCGGGCATAGGCAACATATCAAGATGGTATAGACGTTGACGGTTATTGGCCAATGCTTGGATTGTGCTGTGAAAGACTTCTTACTACTTCGATGAGGGGCTGCGAAATGTTTTGATCGAGGGTGAGAACCCTTCCGTATAATGCATTGCCGTGGTGCGTCTCATGGATACCGGAGATCGAGTGTCAACAAGTCTCCGAGCGCCACGTCCGAGGGCTCTCGAGAGGCTTCTGGCGGGAGCGAGAGGGTATCATAAGCAAACGACTCGAAGTGACTACCAACAAAGATTTGGTCGTATGCCAGTATCCAGCTGTCCTTTGCGCTACTGGTTGAAGAGCCAGTTATTGTAGGTTTTCCAGGAGATACCTCGTTGAGTTGTGTCTCAGCCGTATTGGGTTGGTGATTCGAGCATCCAAGCGGGTACATATTGATCCAATTCGTCGAGGCTGTGCTTGAATCGTTGGCTTGCAGGGGCCATGAATTCTCGAAGTTGTTTAACCCCACTATGTGCATCGCTGGATATCTTGGTATTGTCTCCAGCCTAATATCAAGGCCACTCGGATTGTTGACATTGGAAGGAACCGTATCAGGCTGTTTTGTTTGAGTTGTTATGCTGGACGATTTCGAGGAGTTGCGGGAGGCTGACGGTGTTGACTGAGTGGCTACCTTGCTACGACGCTGCTTAGTCGGTCTTCCCAACCGACGCGGCGGGCTGTGGAAGCAGTCGATCTGGAGCCTTCGGCAGCGATCGCACTGTGCAGCTCCAGATTCGCTTGAGCACCGGCTCTTGAGGGATCGGCAGCGGTCGCAGGCACTTTTTTGAGCGAACGACATGGCTGGTGGAGTGTTCGTGTAGATACGCCATGAGAATGCAAGGGCGGCTTACGTATTGTGTTAAACGGGAGCAGCCGAAGGTTTTATGGCCTACATTTCGCAAGTCTCGCACACGATGCCCAGGAATAGTCAGGGTACCCGGACTGGTCTTGTTCCCGTCAGATTCACTTGCACGTTCCACTACTATCCGAGTCCCTGCGTCGGAGCGTGGGGGACACCTGAGATGTTTGGGTTTCCCCTCTCCCTCCAGGGATTGGCCATCAGGCGCGATGCTAGTATACTATGTTAAGGTTCTCAGAAAACCTTCGTAATGTTATTCCTGTCTCTAAAGTGATAGTAGAAGGGACCGGACTAGTTAGACATTGGCTTTGCCGCGAGTCTGGCAAGGCAGACTGGGAAAGGTATCGCGTCGCTCTAGCTCAGATTCTAGGTTTAAAGAGGCCTTCTAGCAATTAATCTTCGCAAAGTACCTAGAAACTTTGTTAGACCCAGTGTCTACCATTGGGCAGGACATATTGCATGCGAGCCAGGCGGTGTGAGCGATGAGGCTTTCTAGTTAAATCAGAAACCACAATTTGATAAAGGACAAACCTCGCAGCGGTGCAGCGTTAGCCTATGAAGTTCTAGTTCAATTTATTGAATTCAATTAGGAAAGTTGATTTCCCTGTCAATCTTTGGTCGTACCCGGAGCCTAGTTTGGAGTTGGCTACGTCGGCCGACATTAGTCCGGTGCTAGGCGGCGGCTGTGAGGTAACCGCGTACGCGAGCTCTGGTAACAAGTAGTGAAAACTCGCCCCTCGGCTGGATTAAATGAGTCACATGCACGTTTGATTAAAGAGAGAATAACGGGCGCACTAGAACTCACGCTTCTATAGTCCTTTCCCCTACAATCCAAGAGAGCTGGTCACTGCCTACAGTACCTCGCGAGGGACAATTACCGGAAAAGTTTTCGTGGATGACGGCGCATGGGTAAGGAAGCAGCATCCGTTGATACTGACTCGCAGAGAGTAATCCTGACCTAATGGAAACCTAAAAAGTCTCGATAACTACACAGAGTTTGAGGTTTATTTACTTCTGATTAATTGCTCTATAAGACCTTTCCTAATCAGATGGTAATGTTCACAGGATCTGCCTGTACATCGCGCCGAGGCTTCCGGTGTCCTACTTTTGTGATTACCCGTATATATACGTAGCACAAGGCTCTCACACCCTAACGAGTTGTTTTGCACTCTCTTGCATGTCATAGTACTCAATATGAAGCCTTACTATCCTCTTTTTCTTGCCCAGGCTGTCTGCTGTGCTACCTTGCAAGAACAGACCACCAACCTAAATGACAATGCTCTGGCAAAGAGAGCTTCCTGCAATGTTTGTGTGTGAGTACGGACAGGCGTAGCAGGTTTGGACAAACAACTGATAGCACCACAGAACTACGGTGAAGGCCTCTTCTACCACGATCTGGGGCCCTTTCTCGATCCCCTTCGACCAAGGTGGTCAGACGTCAAGAGGAGTATACGTGGGGTGCAATGTCCACATTGACCGCAAACGGACTACAGACTGTCCACAATGGAGAGTTTGGACTTCTGGCTCTTGTGGGCAGGTTATAAAACAGCAAACATGCTGATGGACGACACGGCTGGTTGAAAGGAATTGAATGTTAAATACATCCCTCTGGACAGTGAAAGTCCGTATAGGCATCGTATGTACGCAACCTGAACCGAGATAGAATGCGGCATTATACAGCAAGTATTTTATTTCCAGCCTCCTGCAGTGTAGTAGTGCACGAAGGAATTGCAAGTCATGAAGGCCAAAGCGAACGCTTTTACGCACGCAAGTCCTTATAGGAGGTATTGGACCTCAAAGCTTTTCCCTAAGTGCAGAGTATTAGGCATGACCGGCGCTTGCTGTCCGTGCCGAAGCGGACGACAAAGGGCGTTGTACATCCTGCTACGATGCCGCAAATCTAGGTATATTAAGCGCCAGAAACTCGCCGCGTTTCGTACCATGGTACATTGCCGTGCAGGAAACCTAGGTATTGCCACCTTAACAAGAAACATAGGACCCGAAATCTGATACTCTTTGACTGTTTTTTGCCGACAACCTTTGAAGCAACTGGAATTCATGTCACACTGCAAGCGATTTCGCTAGATCCATCGCTGTTTGTAGTGTCTGAGACTTGACCCTTTAGATTATGATAGGAGTCGGTGACTAAACATGCCGGTGGCGTCTACTCAGCAATCGGGCTATTAAATGACGATATTGTTGAGGGTTGCTGCAAGACTGAATACAAAATAGATTTCTTATCAACTCGTTTTACGCTGGGTAAGTTACACTCTCCACTATCCGAAGCAGCAAGATATCAGGGCAATAGCCTCCTCTAATAATGTGTTACAACCCAACATGCTTGATCAAGACCGGGTCCCGCCCCGCAGGCCTACGGCGGCTGCGGCACACCATATATTGATCTGAACTATGTTAACGCCTACTCGGTTTTGGCCGCAGCGTAACTTTCCGCTTCCCCTCTTCCCCTCATTTCTCCTCTCCTACCTCTCATGTGCCACCCGCCTCAATCCCTGCCTTCCCTCGCCACTGTGTACTTCGAGCTGACCGTTCCCTATCGGCTTATCGTTGCCATCGTTGTCATCGCCTACCACGACGACACTACGTCTACCGCTATGCATCTATTCAAGGCTGGTGGTTTCTTCTCCGATCGCAGATATTTTTCCATGCCCTCTCATGTCGGATACTCCTGCATGCACTCGGTGCCTCCGACCCTGGAGTTCTGGCATCTCGGGGTCTTATCGGACTTGCATCGACTGCAGGGCAAAGGACGCTGCTCGCAAGGCCCGAAAAAGGCACTCCCGCCTGACCGGTCCACCAGGTGAAGCTTCTCCTACCCGCAAAACTCAGTCCATCTCCATCGCTCGCCGTCCCAGTCATGCCGCTGCTGCCTCCCTAAGCAACGAAGGCCTGGCTTCAGCGACTTTGTCTCCAGCTCTTCCCGCAAACGAAGAGATAACAATGCTCAGCATCCCAACTTCTTCATCCCATGCGTCTGACCATAGTTACTGGTGGCTTCATCTAAGTCGTCTTCATGTCAGGCCGTTTCGTCAAGCTTGGGCCGGTCGTTACACATTTTGCTCAGCAGTCCTTCTAACCACCGAGAAATCAGGTTGGTGTTGTGTGAACGGTACTCGAGTGGCGTCCAAGCTTCCCCCGTACCCACCGGACTTTCAACGAAGGCACCTTCCTGAACAATGGTGTCCGATGATGACAGCCCTCGGCTTCGTCGGCGACCGCAAACCATCATCAGATCAACCATTTTGTCTCCGAAACTTCGAACTGCGCACTTCTGTTTACGATACCTCTAAGGGGGACATAGTCAATTTTTCTATATTTTGCTACTTCGCGAATACGAGACGATGGGAGCATATGGTGGTCCCCAGCTCCTCTTCTTTTGTTTCCGTAACCGGTAAATTCGTCGGCTGTACACCATCGAATCAACTTGCGGTAAGAATTTTGGATGTGACCTATCTCCCGAAAATTACCCCGTCCTCCCCACTCTTCTACCTCCTCTGCCGATTTAACTTCCCCCAAGCGTCAAAGCCGTCGGAGTGGTCGCGCAGACTTAGCCCGACCAAAATGTCCCGTATGCAGTCATCCATGGATTCTGTGCAAGACGATACCGAAATGATCCCCATTGACAAGAGTGACACAATGACCCCAACTCCGACGACCCAAGACGATACAAGTCAAGTAACACGGCACCTCGACTCACCTTCGTCGGATACCGAGTCAAAAGAAACAACATCCACGATTTCACTACTCCCGGCAACTCGGCCACAGCGACACCGGCAGCCACCAAGGCACCTTTGAACCCAATTTCATATTAGTTCAAAACAAGAATGACATTCCACATATCATATTTTCATACTTTGACTTTGTAACTGCTCAGTTCGTGATTCTTACCTTTGCGGAGCGCGAAGCGCGACGCTCAATTCTCGTTGATTGATTGATTCCTACTCGGTTTTGGCCGCTTTAGTCAGCAGCTATGCCCGGATAGCGGGGTTTGGCCAACAGCCGACGCGCTCCGGACGTTAATCCGCAGTGCCCCACTTCGCCAGTGCAAAACACCGACCAGCTGTCTCCAAATCTCCCACTCTGCCCTCCAACCTCAACTACCCTTCGCTGCCACCACGTGTACTCTCATGAGGAACATCGTATTCAATCCGTCCAGGTAACACCAAGCCTCTCTAATGGTCACAACGACTCCCAGCAGCCACAAACATCTGGTACTTGGAGTCGATTTTTGACCAGTCGCCTCCAAGATTCCCATTCAGATCGGCCGTAGAGGTAGTCCCCCAGCTGACGGTGCACTGGCTCTTGGCGCAACAGCAAGTCCATGGGCCGTTACCAGAACCGTCTAGCTTCGACAAATAAAAGTTTTTGCAAATGGCCGCCCTTGCGACTATGTCTGAGAGTTCTCCTCATTAGTGACTATTGTTCTGGATTAACTGGGCCAGTTCGAGATTCCTTACCTGGGTACTCCCCCCCTCTTTCAGCGGGCAGAGCGAACCCTACGGGGAGGATGCCGAGAATAAGAATGGTGAAGTGTCTCATGATTGACGACGGGTAGCTTGAGACACGTGACTCAGGTGTTGTAGGCCGGGAAAGATGAAGTATTCAGGCAATTTGGGTATTCTGTGGCATTATGGTGACGTATTATATACAAGTCACATTATTGTCAGCTCCCGTGTTGCAGTGAGTAACCCCTGTATGTCGTTTGATTACATAGCCGATGTCATATCTAATGCTGCGCTTAATAACTGGGGCACAGGCTTGCTCAAGCATGGCTTCCCTGCTTAGTAGCGCAATGTCCCCGTACAAGCTTCATTAGCCAAAGTGAAGGACGCTCATGTGAGGATCGAGACTCTTGGGCATTTTGCCGTCGGTTTTGAGACCTCTGCCATGAATGGGTACCGTGCGTGTCACCATGTAAGATCAATCCATCACTCGAAATAATTGTTGTCATGCAATCAGTCCAGAGGAGCGTACGTAAAGACAATCGACACGATTACGACCGCTCAAACGGAACAACGATTGATAACATTCCCGTGAACAGAACGCTGATAGTACTCGGAAGTAGCCGAGTCAGCCTTTTGGCTGTGAGAGGGATGAGGATATCATCCCGCATACTTGCCCGGTTTCGCTCTCGTCAAAACATACTAACATCGCAGAAAAACACGAAGATGACCAATCCGGTTGTACTACCTAGCACAAGCCACAAATTCATGTGCACTTATGGAGTCTTAGGTCTGTTGCACGGACTTCTAGTGACGGGAGCGACCTTTCGAAGCACCTTTCGTCTTGATGGCCTCTACGGAAACTATCCGCCGGCCGAGCGACGCTGGTCGCAAAACCCCTCTACGTTGAAGCTGGCCAGCACCCTCAGCAAAATGCACTGCTGAAGACCCTTGAAGTAACTCATCATGATGTTTTGTTGTTCTTATTATTGTTAGTGCCGTCATAATCAAGACGTTTGCGGCAAGGCCGGGGCAGACCAGATGCTAGGCTGCCTTCCTCGCCGCAGCTACGTCGGTGTCAACGTAGCGTCGTGCCAGTCTCGTGTCGAATCAGACACCCGGCCAGCGCATAGGCCGAATTAGACCCTGACCACCAAGTCTTCCACCCTAATCTCTGGCAATTTCGTTGCCTGGTCATGCTTTTTAGAGATGTAGGTAAATTCGCATTTGTCTGGGTCAAAAGAGACCTCTTTTTCCAAGCCCCGCCTGAGAAGACTGGCTGCGTTTTCGTCAAGTATCGCGATGTTGATTTCGAGCGAGGGGCTTAGGGCCCGAATCGCAATGTCGTCCGCGTATATGAATTACGCGTAGCCGTCCTCAAGGCTTTTTATGAAATAGCGTAAAGAGACAATAAAAGACAGCAGCGAACCCCGAGAGAGCTCGCATGGCATAGTAAAGTAATCCGGAGTTCCTTCTTCTAGCCCGACCCTGACAGTCTGGTCACACCAGGGGCTGAGGATCAGTCTAATCAAGCTGTGTAGTCATCCCTGCTAACGCAGTCTGATGACGAGCCAGGCTCCCTACTTCCCCTTCTTCATCTCTATTCCTTTGCGTGTGTAGGTCAATACTCTCCGTCTAGTTCCTTCGCTGTCCCAGGAGTCGATCTGGCCGAAAGAGGTAAAACCCCGGACGCATTTCGAGTTGCACCTCAGCGTCCTTCTATCCCATCCGGGGTTCCAGAATGAGGACCGCATCAATCTAAGTCTTCCAGAAGAGCTGCAGGAAGGCCATGTGCGCTGGGGCTACCTTCCCTGCGTTGCCTTGCGCCACGCGTGACACTCATGGGGCTGCCACTCTCCGCCTATGTCACCGAACCAAGTTCGAGGTGGTTATAGGCATTCGCAACGTTGTGATTTGGCTTCTGTGCTGCCTCCTGGCTCCTGCGTGGAATAGGCAGCACAGGACGATCGGTTTGGGCGTTACCAGGGGAGTCTTCGGCATCGTCCGTCTCATCTTCGTCTGTCTCGTCTTCGTTCGTGCTGCTGCCGTCAGTGTTTTCGTCTACAAGGCAAACGACCGAGCTTACAGAGGGCGTTCTCGTACGCGCACGCTTGGCGCCCGGCTGCTACATCTAGCCGGCGTGGCGGAGGTAGGGGTGACAGCCTGCTGCTGACTGCTCTCTGGTCGAGTGGCCTTACGGAGGGTTTCAGATACCTTCTGGCCCTTTTCCATCACAACCGACGGCGCCGACTCCTGCGCAATACCAGCAGGACTTTATTCATGATATGCTGATGAGCGAAAGCTTTACTAATACTGAAATTGCCGCAGCCGTGAGACGTAGTACCCGTGCCATGCGGCGCATCCGCCAGAGGCTAGACTGCCTCGGAGCGACGAGAGCCCTTTTGAAATGGCGCCGGCCGACCTAGAGATATCAACCCACTGATGTTCCGTGCGCCGTGCGAGCGACTGATAGAGAAATCGGACAACTATCTATAAGAGATGGCAGCTCTTCTATTCGACGAATTTGACACAATGGTGACAGCGTCTAACCTACCTAGGACTCTAGGTTATCCAAGCCATTCTTAGCAAAGCACCAGACTCGTCACAAGACGTTTTCATCGGAACCAAAGAAGCCGCCAAGATCGTTAACATACGGAAGTACTGGGTCCCGAGACATCAGGACACTGGAGGAAACGAGGCAGCGGACCAGCCGGCAAAAGAGGGCACGACACTGCCGGCTCGGATAAGTCAAGTGGCAAACCTAGCAGGTATCAAGCGACTTGCGAAGGAAAAAGAGGCTCATGTTCTCAGCTGATCTCTACGTTGAGTACATTGTTTATTTAACGACTGTCTTAATCACTAGCCCGACTGCAGAGCTCGTAACAGAAGTGAGCAAGGACACTCAAAACGCATCGATTACAGACCCAGATTTTGCCTAGCCGCTTCATAGCTAAGCTGGTATTGACCGGCCTTTTCACTCAGGCATTTCCAACCTATTCCTTGTTAGCGTGGCTGGTAAAGCTGACTTCCTACTTACGCCAACACCTGAAGGATAAAGGTTAATATTAGTTGAACACGAGTCATGTCCATTCAACCAGAAACAGGTCCAACCTTTGGACGGTACTTGCAGGCAGAACACCTTCCGGTCTGGAGTCTCATTGACCAGCTTTACCACACCCGCAGCAGATAGTCCACCAGGCGCATAGTTGACATAGCCGCCTGTGAACTGGGCAACCCAAACTCCATTGGATTGCCGATTGAAGTTGAAAAAGGGCGTCGACGTGAAGGGAGCACTTGCGCAAGCCACTGCTTCCGCAGTGGCTGCGAGAGCCGGCAGGAGGAAGGTATATATAAGGTGCATATCTTCAAATGTAATGAAACCTCGTTCGGTGCGCCGGATACATTTAACATATTGCAGGTAGATAGCTTGAGCGGAGTTTTATAGTCTGTCTGGGCTCAAGGTTTAGTGTTTCCACAGTCGTAGTACATCAAGCCGCCGGGATAATTGAAATCTATTTAGATGAATATACCAGGAGCGGCGCCCGAAGCATCCGGTTTGTGGCAGTGCTAATCCTCTGACTGACTCGCAACGAGGTGGACAACGAGTAAAATGAATCGTAGCTTTGGATTCGAGGACAACGTTGCGATGCTTCGTTGGAGCTCTGCAATGTCAATAATAGGGCGACGGTGCTGATGGTCCGCAATTCTGAACAGCAGGCAGCAGTTCAACGAGAGTTTCAACAATTTGCGCCCGGGAAGTTGAGCCTGTCATCGTCAAGCCATGTATCCTGAGGGTACCCCGGAGCTATCTTTTGGCTCCTTTGCCGATGTCGAAAAACGATAGTTTCAATGAAAGAGCGTTTTACGAAGCCATAGCTAAGAACTGGACCCTCATAAAGAACGACTACGCAACCTGTCTATAGTACCTACTGTGGTATCAGCGTCAGAATCGAGCTGTGATCTTTTAGAGTTTGATAGTCTTCATGACTTACGCGAAGCTTGGTAGAATATTGAGTTTAATAGCTCAAGGCCGGTCTTAGTTTAGAAGCTAGTGTTACGAGCGGGTCAGGGCAACTAACCGTGGCACAAAGTAAAAGCTTTGATTATGACAAATCCGTTGTTATTATCCCCTGTTTTGCACTGTATAGCTATAAGCCTACCGGGATCGACTATAGCGGTTATAATAGCAGAGTTTATAAAGCGGCGAACTTGTTAGTATGAATTTATTAGAACTACGGGATGGCTTTATCCTATCTATTAATACCGTATTAAATAAACCCTGTTATAAGTTATGTATTATGAAGCGCTATAGAGGAAGTTCGATATAAAAGCCGGCGTTGTTTACTTGTGTTTTCCTAGGTTAAGCTTTTCCTGTCTAAACTCTATCCCTACGATATTTCGGACGATACCTTTGGCAAAACCCTAATTGATATAAAGAGATTGCTTATGTAAGTAGACCCGCGGAGCCTTTTGGGAAGTAATATAAACGAGTTTGCTCTAAATTAGATATTTAATAATATTCTAATCTTAATGAAAGGTGCCTGCGGCTTATAATTAAACTATACTTAAGAAAAATTATATAGCTAACCCCTATTATGACTAATTATATTATGTATTAAAGCTAGTATTAGATAACTTAATTGATTAGCTGGCCTTTGCGCTATAATTATTTACTATATATTATAACTTTTTTTTATCTTAACTATTTAGCTCCTTAATATTATATTCGTTTATACGTAAACGTTTTATATTTAGTTAAACCTTATTTTGACGTAGGTAATCTGTTAGTACGGGTGTATATAATATTAATATATATATATAGTTTATTATGCCCCGGCTAAGCTATTTAGGGCTCGTATAATTATTTATATATTTTCTATTTTTATTTATATCCTTATCTCTTAGAAGCTTATACGAGCCTTATCCGTTTTTATATATATTATTTTTAGTTTTATATACTAATACTACGGTTACTTATAGTATTAATAATAGGCTATTTTAAAGTTATTTTTTAAAGTATTTAGCGTCTTATTATTAGTAACTAAAACTAGTCTTATTATTAGTAATACGAGGGTGCGTAGGGAGTGTCGTTAATTAATATATTAATATAAGTTATATATAGTTTTGCTACTAATTAATTTATATATCTAGTCTCTCTATACCTAAAGCAAACTTAATAATTTCTTTAATAATATTTATGTTTAGTAACTAGTTATTAAGATCGGACGCGCTTTTTCTTTTAAAAAAGTACGATAGATTCCCTTTATATAACTCTGTTTATTAAAGTATTTAGGTTTATTATGCCGTTTATTATATATAATAAAAAAGAAAATACTTAACTAATTTTATTACTTATTTATAGGCGTATTGTGCTAAGGTAATTATATTAATTTAATATAAGTATTAATTTAGTTTTATTATACTGGTGCGTAGTTATATTAGGATATTAGCTTTTTTTTAAAAGAGCTCGTTATAATTATAAGTTATGTATATACTTTTTTAGTAAAGCGACGTCGATTTTTTTTAAATATACTTTTACGTTATTAAGTAAAGCTCTATACTTTTATTGTACGCTTTATAAAGCGATCTTAAGTATTATTAAGTAGGCTTTAGTAAGTTATTTTTGTAATATTTTATTTAGTCTCGTACTTTCCTTTATTATAGCTTTAGCTACTTGCGCTAGGTCTAACTTTATAATTAATAGGAGTTAAAAGAGTGTGAACTTATTACTTTGTTTTTATAGAGCTTATATATTAGAGTATAGTTATCGGACTTCTTATTAACTTAATTATTACTGCGGGTTATGGATAGTTAGTATAGCTACTTTATTATAGGTGAACGTATAGATAGCTTGGTAGTTAAGCTTTTATAAAAGAGATTTAATTACTTTTATTAGTATTACTAGCTTTATTATATATGAGTTTTATTTTATTTTTAGGCTAAGTGTGCGCGAGGTTATTATTATATTATTACCCCCTCTAAGTAACGTAGGTAGCGTTATAGTCGTTTTGTAGCCTATAATCCTGTTTTTTACTAAGCTCCTTATTGCTATTTTTATTACTTACTTAGACTAGATTGTTTTTATAACTTTAACTGCGTTGTTATTAATTATTATATTAATACGGGCTTTCCGTAAAGTAATTGGATACCCTTTAATAGTTTTTAGCTTATTAAGAGGTAGATTATAATAGGCCTCTATTATTAATTAAAAGGGTAATAGGAATTATTTAAAGGCTACTGCTTATAGACGCTAAAGTAGATAGGTCTTAGGAAGGCTTCGTATTTGTACTTAGAATATTATTAATTTTTTATTATATTTTTTTTATACTGATTATATACTTATTTCCGTTTTAGCGACCGCTATAGTTACTAAGTTAAAAGTTCTTATAACTACTTAGGCGCTAATTCTTTATATTTAGTTAATTACTTTCTTTTATACTACTCGATATTTATATTTTTAAATATTCGATACGTAGTTTATTATTAGTACTACGGTTATGATAAAAAGCTATTTAGCTATTACTAATAATAGACCTTTAAGCTGTCTAAGTTTTAGAACGGCCTCTAGCCCTTTTATTATTACGTTTATAATATATTTTTTAAAGCAAAGTTTCTTATTTATTATTACCCCTAGTACTTTAACGTAGTCTTTTAGTTAGATAGTGTCCCTTTTAATAACGAAGCTAGTTAAGTTTACTAATAACCTCTAGTTATATATAAAGTAGATAATAGCCGTTTTATCCGTTTTAAAAGTTACCCCGCTTTGTCATTCTTACTTAAGTACTCTATTAATAATATTTTAAATACTTTCTTAGTTTATTTCTTATAATCGGCTAGTAATTTATATTATATAGTTATTAATAAAAGCTAGCGCGCCCCTAGTTTTGTTAATATAGTATTATATAAAATTAGTATTAAAAAAAAGGAATAGTACGGGTAATAGTAACGAGCCCTAAGGTAGACTAGCTTATAGTAACGGACGAGCCTTAGACTCGTAATTGTTAACTAATATACTTACTATACGATAGGAATAGAAAGCGTTAACTTATTTTATAAGCTTTTTAAGTATACCCCGTACCCTAAGTTATTAAAGTAGTCTCTCTTTATATATACTATTATATACTCCCTTAATATTAAAACTAACTAAACTAACTACCTTTTTCTTTCTTTATACTTTATAAATATACTCTTATAATAATACTAGCGCTTATTCTACTGACCTCTACTTATGAGTACTAAAATAGCTTGTAAAAAAGAGGCTAAATGTTTTAACTACGTATGAAATATGTTTTACTAAGACTAACTTTAATATTTTTTTAAGCGTTAATAAAAGCGAGATCGGTTGCTAGGCCTTTATTATACTGTAGTTATTTTTATTTAGCTTTTTTAGTAAGATAATCTTAGCGTATTACTATTACCTTAGTAATATCCTTTTATTTAGTAAGGTTTAGAAAAGTATAAGTACCCTCTCTTTTATTACTAACTATATATACTTTTATACTATTATTAATAAACTATCTTTTTTAGGAGCTTTTTATAACTTTATTATAAAGAGCTATTTTTTTATTTTTCTTAACGTTAGGTTAGGGATAGGTATAGGCGACTTCTATAGCCGCTCGCTCTTTTTTTTAATTATACTAAGAAAAAGAGGGAAAAATATAAAAAATAGCTTTTTAGCTTACTTTGCGGCGTCTTTTATTTAAAAACTATTAGCTCTTTTTAAATAGGGAATCTTATTAAAAGAAGCCCCTTTATTAATATTAAGATATTTCGCGGCTTTTTAAATATTTATATCGTTAGCTAAAGAATCCTTTTAATAGCTCTTTTTTTATTATTAAATAGCGTTATATTATTATTTAGTAACTAAGCGGGTACGTTTTTTTAGCTCGGCTTAGGTATTATTTACCCTTTTCTTTACCCTTACCTAGTTCTTTTAATAAGTATAGATTTACTAAAACTATATAAGGTTAGCTATTTACTATCTCTTTATATATAGAGATAGCTTAGCTTTAGGGGTTAGTACTTTTACTACTTTATATATTATAAATATTAGTTAATTTATTAATTAAGTGCTAAAGGGTTAGGCTTAAAAGGAAATTTTGGAATTTATAAATCTTAAATACCTACTACCTTAGCTAGCTTTTTACTTACTATTAGCGAGTTAAAGAATAATTTAAGATTTATAAACCCTAAATAACTACTACTTCTACTAACCTTTTACTTACTAATAGCGAGTAAAAGAATTTAAATATTAAATACTCGAGCTAGCTTTTTACTTATTAATAGCGAGTAAAAGAATTTATATATTAAATACTCGAACTAACTTTTTACTTACTAATAGCGAGTAAAAAAATTTAAGTA